AGAAGAAGAGGAAAGAAAAGAAAAAGGGGGGAGTAAAGGCCTTGGCTGTGGAGGACGGGGCCTGAGCAAGGGCGAGGTTTGGGGGATGGGTGGGGCCTATGCTCAGGACCCACAGGGCTGGAAAAGGCCCTGGGGACTGTGGGGGGTGGGGCTTAGGCTCAAGGAGCAGAAGGCGTGGCCCCCAGCCCTGGTCTCAGAGGGCAGGGACCTCCCCTGGGAGCCCAGCAGGCTTCCTGGGCTCGAGTGGGCGGGGCAAACGCCCTCCTCTCCGCTCCTGCTCCTCTGGTCCCGGAGGCCCCTCCCCGCCTGCCTCTCCTGATCTCCCCAGCCTCCCTCCTATGCCCCCAAGGACCCACGCAGCCTGGAGGGGGCTTTGGAGGGCAGGGGATCGGCCTGGGAGCTCAGTAGGCTCCCCGTGCCCGAGTGGGCCAGGCGATCGCCCTCCACTCTTCCCGGAGGGTCCCTCCCGCCGGCTTCTCTGATCTCCCCAGCCTCAGGGGCTCCGATCCTGTCTGGCCTCCACTTCTCCTACCCCTCAGTCCCCCCACGTCCTACCAGTTCACTCGGGGGCTCCTCCCGTCTCCTTGGGCGTCAGGCTCCCCCACCAGCGGCTGGCAGGTGCCCTAGTTGTGGGAAAACACTAACTCAGCGTCTTGCCACACTGCCATCTTTGCCAATGACTGTCTTAATTGTCTTATGCTCCATAAGCCCTGCTGGTCTGCAGGTGCACTCTTCATACACTTACAGTTACAACGTTTAATTCAGTTTGTTTTTTCTTGGCATCTTAGAAACATTTCTTTCATTGCTATTTAGTTATAGTTAAATAATAATCTTTTCAGCTACGTGGATGTATAATCATTGAATAACTCACAAACTTTCAGACCCTCCAATACTCACAAAGGAAAGGCCCGTCCCTGCGACCTGAATACACTGTCACCCCAGGGAAGTGTAGGTGACAGCTGACACGCGAGCCTCACGGAAGCCCAGGACAGGAGCTGCAGTCTACACCCGGCATCCTTCCCGCCCCGGGGATGGAGTGGACAGGAATGTGGTAGCCGCTCCCAAGAGCACTAAGGATGCAGGAGCTTCCCCCTCAGCAAGGCTCCCAGCACATTTTGGGGAGTGGAGAGCCCTCAGTCCCCCTCAACGCACCCCTATATCTCAGAACATTAGAGGTCAGAGTGTAGGGGCAACTGGCCACATAGAGCCCTTCATGCCAACCCCAGGTGTGCCCACCTTCAGAGACAGGAGCACAACTGCCCACAGTTCAGCAGAGGCGGTCCAGCATTTCTGCCCACCCACTGCCCTAGGCCAGCACCAAGGACTCCAGAACCCTCCTCCTGCCGCCTCACGTGGAGGATAAAACCCAAAAGCACTCTTTGGGCTCTTGCTTCTTTCTTTCCTTCCCCCACTTCCCCCCCTCCCTTCCTATCCTGAACAATTGATCAGCTACAGATAGAGAGATAAATGGACTGGTAGATAGACGGATGGATGAAGGAAGGAAGGAAGGAAGGAAGGAAGGAATGGAGAAAATATAGATAGTTGCTGGATAGATCTTACACGGACAGATGACTGGATGGACAGACAGGTGAGAGACAGAGCTATTGATACAGATGAGGTGGGCAGTGTGGGCAGTGTCAGGAATGGTCAAATTGAAGCTGTGTGCCCCTTGGTGAGATGTCCAATCCTGCCTCAGAAGCATAACCTGACCCAGGAGGAAACTTCAGCAAGAGGAAATCAAGGAGCATCCTACAAAATAACGGGTTCTGAAAATGCACAGTCTTCAAAAGTGCTAAGTCATAGGCCAAGGATAGATTGGGCCCCTGCTCCAGGCTGACAGAGACCAGCCGGACAGGACAGTTAAGTCTGGAGGGGGTTGTTCTGATCCAAAGGATGGTAAATGGAATAAGTGGTAAAACCTGCACTGGACCTGAAAATTAGATGGTAATTATGGATCAAATCAGTTTCCTGATCTGATGATTGAATTTGGTTAAAATAATACCTTTGTGTAGGAAGTACACACTAAGATATTTGGGGCAACAAATATTGCACTGGGACGTGTTTGAGAAAAAGTAAATTGTGATCTCCCTGTCTCATAAAATAAACAAAAAGCCATTCTACATAGATTGTAGATCTAAATAAGAAAGGTAAAATAATAAAGTTTCTAGAAGCAGCTTTAAATAATATCTTCAAGAGACTGAATTTCCTGAAGCAAATATTTCTTTAAAATGGCACAAAGAGGATCAGTGATAAATAAGACTCCATAAAAATTAAGAACCTCTGTTCTCCAAAAGACACCATTAAGAGAGTCATAGATGAGGGGAAGAGAGATAACCAATAAGGGGATCATATCCAGCCTCTCCCTCTCTCTAAATCTCTCTTTGGAACAAAATGTAAGGAGGAATCATAAATTTTTTTACTGAAAAAAAGCAGCACCAGGAATCTTCAATACACTCATTATATAGCTGAGAAAACTGAAGGCAAAAGAGGTTGGAACTGAGGCCGCTTAAGTCTCAGTCTCATGCTTTTTCTCAATATTGGATAAGACAAGTACAGACAACCAAGGAAAACACAAAGGAACATAAAATAACCCGAAAAACTCAATGATACAAACACTCAAGAAACCAGGAATCAAAAGGAACTTCCTCATTCTGATAAAAGCCATCTAAAGAAAAACCTGCAGCTAACATCATACTCAATAGTTAAAGGCTGAATGCTCCTCCCTCCACCCCAAGAACAGGAAAAAGGCAAGGATGCCTGTTCTCACCGCTTCTATTCAACATGTCCTGGAATTTCTAGGCAGAGCAATAAGGCAAGAAAAAGAATTTAGACGCATCTAAATACAAAAGAAGTGAAAACATCCATTTCCAAATGACGTGATCTTGAAAATTTTAAAAAATGCAAAGGAATCCACTAAAACTCCATTAGAACTAATAAAAAATTCAACCAGTTTGCTTAGATCAATATAGAAACATCAGTTACTTATTTCTATACACTAGCAATGAACATTCTGAAAATGAAACTGAAAAACATTTCCATTTACAATAATTTGAAAAAGAATAAAATGTTTAGAAATAAATTTAACAAAAGAAGGGCAAGACTTGTACACTGAAAACTACAGAACACTGTTAACTGAAGAAGGCCTAAACAAATGGAAAACATCCCACGTTTATAGTTCAGACACATCTCCACCTTAAGGCAGCAAAAATACTTCTCCAATCAACTGACAGATTCCTCTGCAAAATCTCCATCGAAATCCCAGCTGGCTTCTTTGCAGAAATTGACAAGCTGATCTTAAAATTCATGTGGAAATGCAAGGGAGCCTGAATAGCCAAAACAGTCTTGAAAAAGAACAGAGTTGGATGACTCACATTTCCTGACTTTAAAACTTACCACAAAGCTACAGTAACCAAAACGATATGGAATTGGCATAAGGATAGACATATACACCAGTGAAATCGAATTGAGAATTCAGAAATTGAGTTTTCTGAATCAACCGATTTTCAACAAATGTCCCAAGACAATTTAATGGGGAAAGAATTGTCTTTGCAACAAATGGTTCTGGGAAAACTGAATATCCACACGTTTAAAAATGAAGTTGGACCCCTACCTCACACCATATAAAAAAATTAACTAAAAACAGATCAGAGACTTAAACGTAACCACTAACACTATTTTTAAAGTCTTAGAAAAAAGCACAGAAGTAATCTTTGACCTTGGATTAGGCAATGGTTTCTTAGATATGACACCAAAAGTACAGGCAACAAAAGAAAACTAGATCAATTGGACTTAATCAAAATTAAAAACTTTTTCCTGCAAAGTACATTATCAAGAAAGTGAAAGGATACCCCACAGAGAGAACACAATATTCGCAAATCATATACCTGATAATGGAATTGTATCTAGAATACATAAAGAATATTTACATCTCAATAATAAAAAGACAACCCAGTTTTAATAAATAGGCAAACGATCTAAACAGACATTTCTCTAAATTTAGAAGACACAGAAATAGCCAATGAGTGCATGGAAAGATACCAGCATCACTTGCCATCAGGGAAATGGAAATCAACATCACAATGGGATACCACTTCCTACATACTGGAATGGCTAAGACCAAAGAGACGAATGCTGGTGACGGTGTGGAGCATCTGGAGCCTTCATGCGGTGCTGGTGGGAATGTAAAACGGTGCAGCCACTTTGGGAAGCAGTCTGGCTGTTCCTCAAAAGATTAAACACAGACGTTACCTATGAGCCAGCAATTCCACTCTTAGGTAAACACCCAAGAGAAATGAAGACATACTGCTACACAAAAACTTGTACATGAACAGCCATAGCAGCAGCACTATTCATAATAGTCAGGAAGTGGAAATAACCCGTTAAGGAATAAATGGATAAATAAAAAATGGTCCTGCCGTACAAGGGAACATTATTTGTCCATAAAAAGGACTGAAGTACTGATACTTGCTACAACGTGGATGAACCTTGAAAATATGCTCAGTAACAGAAGCCAGTCCTAAAAGGCCACCTACTGTGTGATTCTATTTATATAAAACCTCCCAAACAGGCAGCTTAGTGTTGGGTGCAGCGGGGATATGGAGGGTGACTGCTAAGGGGCACAGAGCTTCTTTGGGGGGTGGTAAAAATGCTATAAAATTGATTGTGGTGATAGTTGCACAACTTGGTGAATATGCAAAACTAAGCGACCATTGGACTGTAGGTGTTAAATAGGGGAATCAAATGGTATGTGAACTATATCTCAGTAAAGCTACTATTATTTAAAAAAAAAAGTCAAGCTGAGGTTTCCAGGAAAAGTGGAGTTTTTTCAAAGTGCTAGTGAGTTCATAATGGCAACACAGTCCTTACAATGGGGAACTATCCAATAATTTACCTTAAAAACATTGCTTTTAACCTGAACAAGACCTTTCTCCGTGTTTGGTCCACTTTCGCCCCTTCACCTGCGCCCACCCGGCTCCTCCTTCCCTCGGGTCCCCTCCGAGGGTCACCGCGCGCCTTCCGGGCGCCCCGGAGCGCGCGGCCCGGGTCCCCAAGGGCTTGGGGCTCCGCCGACGGGGCGGGCCCGGGGGCGGCCGCTGTGACCCCGGGGCGTGTGCAGACACCGCCTCCGCGGCCACCGATAGGTCCCACCCCGCCTCGGCGACCCGCGGGCCGGGGGCGGGGAGAGGCGGCGCGAAGGCCGCGCGCACCGCCCGGCGCCGCTCAGAGGCCGGGC